AAATGAGGACTCAGTTGCTGCAATTCTGGTAGCAACACATGCTTAGCAATGCATACTTAGCAAGCAACATGCCAGCAACAAGATAGACACGTTGCTATCTGGGTGCATGTGTGTGTATATATATGTATATATATATATATATATACTTGGCAATCAATCTTATTATTTAAATTACAAATACTGTAGATATTTAAAACAAAAGTATTTCAAATACATGTCGAGCCCTGACAATAGATAAATAATGAAATAAAACAAATATATAAAATGTTTAATTACTTGGAATATACTTAATATAATAGAGTGTATTTAAAAATTTTTTTTAAGTCTTCCTTTAAGATTATAAATTTAGTAAATCTCTACTTGACTATGTAGTGTTTAATTGTATGTTGTGACTAGATGATAATGATCATTAATAAAATAGTTACAATGATGGTTATAACTGGTTGACTAATCGCTTTGATCTTTATAGATTAAAGACCAACTGGCAAAAGATGTGTTTAGTATCTTCTCTGTTGGATGCGTGGTCTAATCTAAGAAATTGTGAACAAAGCATGTTGACCGAAGCGGTGGAACAGTTGTCCGTGAATGCGGAAGTGGCATCCTCGGTCCTCAAGGTGCTGCACGATGCCTGCGACAAGTTGAAAAATTCACAGCCTGAATTTAGCAATCTGCATTTACTGCTCCTGGTAGGGTCAAAGTTTTTATCATTGTATTCCAGCAAGAACGCTCATGATCTGTGCGCTTCGGACATTTTGTTGATGATCCTGCTATGCTGGATAGTGAATAAAAAGCGAAAGCAAAATCAGTCGGAAAGCAATAATGATTGCTGCGATGATATCTTGTTACCAGAGAGCAACGTTTTGAAAAGTGATGAAACAAAATTAAACTTCGGAGCTAAGCTGGCCACTCCTACTTCAGAGGACATAACGGATCTCTTTAGTAGGTTTTTGCAGCATAGTTATTTTTGGTAATGGATATATATTTTTGTTTGGCGCATAATTGAAAATTTTTTAGTGAATAAAAAGGATGAACTCTTTATTTAAATAGATTATACTTAGCCTTTTTTTTTTTATTTGTTGTAGGAGGTTCCAGGGAATCTTCTGTGAACGAAGGTCTCTCATCCTTAACTGACGATGATCTCTATAGCCAATCGTTTCTCCTCGATTGCCAGCATAACTATACAGCTAATGCAGTTCACATCTTCGAATTATCAGATTCCATTAACTTGATAACAATTGTTGAAGCTACAAATCTGTCCATTTCTTCAGGTTTATGCGACAGTTTCCATTATTTAAATCTAATAAACAATCTGCAATTTCAACGAGACGTCGATGAAATGAAACCAGCCTTTGAGAATCTCGATGTAGCGATAAAAAAGGTGCTGGAAGGAATTAAGAAGAATCGTTCTAATGTCGGAAATGATGTCGATATGTGTCAGAAAAGGTTGCAGACCAAATGGGATTTCATCCGAAAAAAGTACAGTGATCTTCTGCGCTCCAGAGATCCCGAAGTAGTTCTGCAGATTGAAGCTAATACTTCTGGCTTTGTAGAAACTTTGAAAGAACTATTGCGTTTGACCTGTTTTGACAAGAATTTTCTGAAGCAAGGAATTGATGTTTTGACAACGGTTGGCAGACTTGTGAGACAGAAGCTAAATGATTTCAGTGACTTTCTGAAAGTCAAAGCTCTGAAAAACTTCACGCTAGGATCATATCCTTTTCTAAACTTGAAGAGGCACGATTTCGTGACTTTTCTTTCCTGAACAATTTTTTAAATGTTTCATAAAGTTTATATTCTTTAAATCTAATTATTTTTTAGATTGTTATTTATAAAACGATCTAAATAAAGTCTAACAACTAATATAAACGATCTAATATAAAGTTTTTATATAGAGCAATCGTGTTACAATAGTAGAAGACTGATATTAATATACAAAATTTTAATTATATACTTTTTTCTTTGAAAAAATTTAAAATAAAAATTATTTAAAAATTAAAAAAGGAATAGGGCTACGAGCCAAAGGTTAATCGCTATAAATTTAAATTAGTAAACAATTTCTGCAGACTCGAATTCTTAAAATAAAAATAATAATAACACAATCCGTAAAGGCCATACGAGTCACGGGCTGATGAAGGTGCCAACGATTAATTTCAATCTTAATTAATCATTAATTTGTAGAATCCTCTTTATTGAACGTTTCGACTCGCTTTGGAATCCTCCTCAACAATACATGTGTAATTAATATGTTGAGTATTCCGTCAACTTGAGAGTCTTAAATTAGTAAAATAAACATATCAGAATATAAAAACTTTAATGCCGGCTGTAAACAAATAAATAAAGACAAACGTTTCAATCCCTATAGGATCATTATCAATGTTGAAATAGAACAAAAAATTATTCAAGTTTTTACATATAAATTAGAACATTATTGCATGTGCAACTTTTTATTTTGTATACTTCCTTAATGTTATGCATTTTTCCACAAGAACTTCCCTAACTATCAACAAATATCTTGAGGAGTTTCCAGGTCTAGTGCATTTCATCTATATCGACAGGAATACGCATAGACTTGTGGCGCCTACACTTGACTTCACGAGCACGGAAACGCTCGCTCTAACAATGAAAAAAGTAAGTTCTATCAAGGTAATATTAATTATATCAAAATTTTTTTGTTAATTTAATTTTAACTTTTTTATTTTATACATATAGTATATGTATAACATTCATGCATTGATTCAAAGATGTAACTACAAATAGCTCCTGATGGAATTATAAATAAGTTTATACAGAAATATTTCTTGTTTTTACATAGATTTGGAACATGGTTGAGCAAAGTAGAATGCATTTACAAGAGGGTCATCTGTCAGTTATGTGGAAAGACACTACATTCAATTACTCTTACTTTTTATGGTTCGAAGATAATTCTGTATGTGCAGTTGTATTATATTTAAATATTTTAAAATTATATAAAATATTTATGGAATAACAGATAAAATTCAATAAAATATAATCTCATATATATATATATATATATATAT